GATTATGCTAAAAGTTGATCTGATTTCTTTGTAGAACTCAAAAATGCTTCCTGTTTCCTCAAATGAAAAAGCTACTTCACATATGCTCTCCTTCCTTAAAAGTACACTGGATGGAGTTACTTCTAAGTGCCAGCTTTGTACTTTCCACTGCCCTGTTGACACATTTTGAAAGAGGAAATCAATGTATGAGGAAATTGTAGAATCACAGAATTGCAAGGTTGGAAATGACCTGCAAGATCATCTAGTCCAACTGTCCAATAATCTAGAATAAATCAATGTAGTTGTTTTTTTATTGTTGTTGCTGCTGCTGCTTTTGTTGTAAGAAAGCAGAAGTCATCAAAGCTTCCAAACTCAAAGCAGAGTCTTCCAAATCAGAGACTAAGATTGAAAGCAGTTTATTTGCACAACACTAGCATCTAAAGCTGTATTTCTCTACCTTTCTTTTCATGAAGTAACAGATGTTTGAAGCTCACATCCTGATACCTCAGCCAAATTCAATAACCTCACTTCAGCTCCACAAGAAAGGAAATATTTTGTAGCATCCTCAAGTCCCCTAGACACTGATTATTTCTTTCCTTTTTTTTTTCCATCCTGCAAAACAGCTCTAATCTAAAAGCTAGAAAATAGTATAAAAGCAGTACTGTACATATGCTTATAGTCTCTGCTAAGAGGGAAGCTACAAAAGATCAGACTTCAAGTAGCCTGTTTAGAACAAAGACAATTGGAGTTCTCATTTACCTTACTCCATCAGAGATGTTGATGCAAAATTTCAGATATTTCTTTAAGTTACTTTGGCTTAGGAAGCTTAAATCAGCCTATCTGGAAACATGAGCAATGTTATGGGCAGAGATGCCTGTACTATATAAAAACTGGGCAATTTACTACAGGTAATCCTCATAATTAATGCAGTGTAAAGTAGATTTTTTTCTTGTTGTTCAGAGAAAAGACATATAAGAGACATATAAGCATTTTCTAAGAGAGTAAGACTGAGAAATAATACAATGCTCCTCCACTTATTCATAGTACAGAAATGATCTCATCCAAAGCCAGCCTCATGCACAGCATAAATTAGTACAGGATTGAGCTCATGTTGTGCTCAATATCATATCATCAATAACTTCACCATACTATTTTCATTTTTCTCACCCCCATCTAAATGCAGACTAACAGTAGCTGAGAGAAACAGTGTAAACTACAGCTTAAAATTCTCTCACCAAACTGGAGGAGAGTCCATGTGATTTCCATGTCTTTGCTGGAAAACATTCCCTCTCTGGATACTGCCAAACCAACCCAACAAGGGCTGACTCATTCACAGGGCCTCATAAAGTACTTCTGAAAGCCTTGGTTTTTGCCTTTGGAATGCACTGCAATACACCAAGAGTTTATGATGCTCCAGCATGGGGGAAGAGGACATTTCTGACGTTTCCCTACAAGGAAATTCCCAGTCTGCACACTACAGTATTAAAGATGTGCTCAATTTATTCCTCAGTACCAAAGGAAAGCATTGGAAATTCATTCCTTTGGCAAATGATATCACCCTTCCACTTTGATTATGCTTCAGAGACAATTTTTTTTGCTTGCATAGGAAAACAAATGAACAAAGTGCCAATCCCTCATTCTTCCTCGCTTTCCCATTTCTAGTCTTGTGGTAAAGAGATGTATGATGAGCTATAGAGGAAAAAATCCGTTGGACTCCCATCTAAAATACTGACAGCACATCACTGGGTAAAAGAGAAATACAAAAATCTAAACAAGGGCAGTAACAAGATGAGTAGAAGAAAAGTATTCCATAAATTCCATAAACCAGTAGAATTGCTTTGTGTAGAAAGGATTTGATAGGATATTATATGACAATTCACATGAATTAGTGAGTAGGATAAACAAGTCCCATTGGTCCCTTGATACATACTAACTAAAACTGAACCTAGTTCTTGTAGCATAGCATACTGTAAAGCTTTGAAATTTTCTACCACCAATGCTGTATTAATGAGCCAACAACCTAATGTGAGATTAAATCGTGCAAGAATTTCTTAACAGTAACATAATTTGTGACAACAGCTGGGATAAACATTTAGCGAATACATCATCCCTCACATTTAAGGACTGAAATCAAATGCTTTTCCAAGTGGAGTTAGGAAAAAAAGTTCATCACCAGTAGATTCTGGCATCACTGCCTACCATGACTGACAGATAACTTCACTTGAAGCCCATAGCTTCTGGCAACTTTTGACAAAGGTACTGGGAAAGACTGCCCTTGTTCTGACTGTGACAATTTCTGTGATTCTACGTAACGTTCTACATAAGATTACCTTGAAGAAAGTGAAGAAATTCCTTGGCAATCATTTCTTTCAAATCTTTGTAATATACCAGGAAAGGCAAAAAAAACCCCATGGTACTTAGTTTCAGAAATTCACTAAATGTGCAAAAGGAGTCAAATTATTGAAAGTTCTACCCATTGAAGTTTAAACAACTCTTTAACTGTCCAGGGATGTTTCGCATATCTATGTCTACTGACGCCACCAGAACAGCTGAGGTGGAATTTGTTGTTGAGAAATGGCTTCATAAACCATTGATGTCTACAACTTCAAAAAGGGTCCTGCAGGAGTTCCTCTACTGTCACATCTGAAATGAGTTTCTACGTGTTTGTATCTCACTCTGAGTTCAAAAATTGAAAGGCAAAAGATTAGACACAATCACATAGTGTGTATCAAGACCACGTTTCAATAGAAACTCTTTGGAAAAGTAAATAGAGATCTACTGGGAAAATAAGCTCAAAGTGATGTATGTTTGTCATATCTTGCTAACCCAAGGTATGTTCATCTCTAGCTCCTGGGATGGACTGTTATAAGGCCATGTGTTGCTGAAGAAAAATTGAGCATTCTCACAGAACACCTAGATAAATGACTGAATCAGGGAATGTTTCTTTTGCAAAATAGTAATATAAATGTAATGGGGCTACTGAATAACTGAATTCCAGACTTTGAGGTAAGAAAATATTTTTTCTCATCTTCCATCTCAATTAGCACAAGACTCAGTACAAGAGACAAGTCTTATACTTCTTGCTTCCCTCTTTATATAATGTGGGTCTCCTTGTCCAATGTGAGATGCAAAGGATATTCCACATGTCAGAAGCCTAATTATGGTGATTCGAACATGATTCCAACTCCTAACAAATGCATAATGCAAATTATCTATGGACAGTTTGACCAAGAAAATAAATATTTTCCACAAATACAAGAGCTGATTTAATTTCACTGAAATATGATTAATCCAGGATGTATGTGAAAGCACAGTACCACATGTGTTTCTCAAAGTACACAGGCTTTAAGGCTCCCGTGCTAAAAAGTGAAACATGCAACTTAATGGGGGAATTAGACAGAAGCCCACCCAGGCCAATCTTCAGCAATTACTTTGCCTACGTATGTTTTTCTAATGGAAAATATAGCCTGTCTCAGTGCTTTCAAATTATTGAGTCATACCTCCCCTTGCTTACAAGTACTGACTTTTAAAACTATACACATTTTTTAACAGACCATTGTTATGCCTCTAATCAATCTCTCCTTTGTGCACTCAGTAGGTCTACTCTGAATCTAGCAATTAACTCACAAAATCAGCCTCGTTCAAAGATTATTCTTCCCAAAACTGTAATGGGCAGTCTCTTCTCTTGAACACTTTTTTTAAAACATCAAGCTGCCTGTACATCCTAGGAGAATTTGAGTACAGGATCTAAGCTAAGATCTCAAGCTTTCTGAAAGAACACATCAGTCTGCTGAATATGATATCCAGAAAAATACAAGTTCTCATTTCAAAGGTAATACACACACACACACAGACATACAAATACATACATATAAATCTGTATGGCATATTTTCTGAGCAGGCCTGGACTCCTTGTGAAGTTGTTTTTCAGTATAGCAAATTAGAAAAACATGCCCAGAATTAAAGGTTACTTAATCGGGTTGAAGCTCTAACTTCAATTCCAGCAACTCCCTCCCACTATGCTACATCTGATAATGTACCCAAGTCCAAACAGAAACTTAGTTCAAAAAGATGTTTGGTCCTCGAATGTAAAATGACACTTAGCTTACACAATTAGCCAGGTAATACATATCCTTCCAAGAAAAACAATTTTTACCGCAGAATAATCTGCATTTTACTAATCTCTGATTGTTAAGTTTTACTTGCTGAAACTTTTCCATATGGCTTTCTGCACACCGCTGTCCTGTATTTAATTACCACAAAAGGATATTAATAACGAGGTTGGAAATTTGGCCCAAGTCCTGTTCCACAATTTGGACAGTTTAATGGAGAGAGAGCCAATGTCAATTGACATTTCTGTCAATATGAGGCTGTGCCACTTCACACAGAAAAGCAGTGGCAAAAGAAGAGTAAATAGACCTATGGAAATAAAACATCCAGCTATTTTTTAATTGCTCATAGACTTCCAAAACAGCGGGTCGTGAAGTAGCGTTGAGTAAAGTGAAATACTGGTTAGCTAGCATAAGGGACCGTCAAATGGAAATTGCTGGAGTAATCCTTGTAATCAAGAAAGCTTTTATCAAGCTGTAAGACGCATGCCCAGAAATGCACAGCGTACTTAAGAATTTTAAAGGCAGAACATGATACTGAGCACAGCCAAGGCAAGGATAGGCAGCTTGGAGTGCAGAGGATGCGAGGAAGCTAACGTGGGTGGGAAAGCATATGTTGCTGTTTGGATGAGGAAGTGGTACACCACAGTTACTTCATAAGTGCAAGGGCTTTATAAACTAAATCTCTTAGGAACTGTTTTAAATAGACCAAGAATGACACACAGTCCCTGACAAGCTTGCAGTATTGTTCAAGAAGGCTGGATTCCTTCTCAAAACATTCGACTGCTGCTTGTACTTTTTCCAAAAATGCTTATTTTTAACCTCAACTTCTTCATATAAACACCGAGCAGATGCATCATGTAGTAAACTCTGTTTTGTCTACCATGAAATTAATGGCTTCCTCTGTCTTACCTGACAATGGAAAACATATTCTGGTGTGGTTTTCTTGAACTTCATATTCCATACCAGGGCTACCCCATCAGGCTCATGGGGAGCATCTTCATTATTGTTATAAGATGCAACCATCAACTCAGGGTACTAGGAAAAAAAAAAAAAAAAAAGAGAATGAAATAAACTGGATGATGAAGAAGGCATGAGAAATCAGATGAGAGAGAAATAATCTCATTCTACATATGGAATATCTGGTTTTAATTATAATACATGCTAGTTCAACCACAGTATTTAGCTACATTTTGGTTTTATATTTTACTTGTCCCTGATGTCCTTAAAGCCCCTGCTCCTTGCTCTGCATCGATTACTCTCACATATCGCAAAGGCAATGTTATTTTCTGCATATAATTCTCAGAAAAGACAACTAACAGGATATTCATAAAGAGAAGTAAAGCAAGGAATATAGTTGAAAGGAAAAACCTGAAAGTTTGAGCAATTATAATGTATTTGCTTAACCATTTCTTCAGAATCATCGCCTTAATTGATTTTGATAGTAAAATCAGTGTGAGGATAGCACTTATCTTGAAACTAACAATTCCTCAACATCTCAGAAAACTATTCCTTCTAATTTCAGTATGCACTCTTCCTATTCACTTATACATAGAAACAACTTGAAAGCTCTTTCAAATTATTCAAATAGCAAACAAATTTTGCTCACTTTTGCAAGACAGTGAGGTCATTTGTTAAAGCTCAGGGTGATATCCAATTCCACTGTCTCAGTAAGACTATTCCAGAGAGCACTCTGCAATAGACTCATATTTTCTACTGTATGCACTATCCACTGATGTGTATAAGTAGATATGCACCACACACATACGTATTTGCCCTGTATGTGTGTGTATATATATATATATATATGCATATCTATATATGATATCATATATTTCCTGTATTTCTGACACCCAGCGCCTCTGTAACCCCTGTCCTTCCCTCTGAATAGTCCAGGTAGGGTAACAGACCTTATGGCACATCTGGAGAAGAACACACAGATTCTGGCAGACCAATGATCTGGCAGCCCCAGTTTGTTGGACCCACATCCTCCTCTTGTAAAGTAGGAATGCTTTCCCTCAAAATTTCCCAATGATAATTGCAAGTCATTGTCACTGTCTTTCCCAGGTAAGTTCCTGCCAAACCATTCACCACTTCATAGGGGAAGAGCACAGCTGGTAGATATAAAGGAAGCGGGACAAAGGAACTGCCAGTGATGCTGCTGGGAGCTATGAATTTGGTCCACACCAGGCATTTTAAAAATTACAAGCACTCTTTTCTATCATTACTAGTGTGGCTTGATGCTCTGTGATCTCAAAATCCATTTGGAAGAAATAATGCATACTGCTGTAACTTTTGTCATCAGCAACTCTTCTTTCCCACTTTGGGTACATTTCCATGGATAATACATCATGGAGCTGATGATTGTTCTATTCAAACCATCATTCCATGTAAGAGATCTGAGTCAGATCCTGGAACCATGGATGGAAGGACCTACAGTGGTGTGTGGCCACCACAGCTGCCCCTTCCCCTTTTTGGATGAAGGTGGTTCTGATGATGGGGGCACCTATGTTCTACCAGAGCCTGGCTGGTGGCACTGCTTCTAAGGGCACCCAAACCTCTTCTATGAGACTCCGAACACGCACCAGAGCAACTACCTCTTCTTCCTCCTCCAAAACTCAGACATCCAAATGTGGTTTGATCCCACACAGCCTCTAGGGACGCAGCTGCACCAGCCTGCCTTTCTCTGCCCAAATGCCTTCTGAGATCTCTCTTTTCTCTCTCATGACAGATTATAACCACTGCTGAACAGTGAGTTTAGCTTCTCCTTTGAACCTTCTCATCCCACATTGGCCTGGGTCCAAGGAAGCAGCACGTGCAAAAGGCTTTTGCCAGCATGTCTCATTTTTACTGAACAGTTCAGGTATCGTTTGGGCCAGCGACTGAGCCCATGCTATTGAAGGGGTAGTTACCTCAGCAGGCAGAATCGCCAAGCTCTTCACCAGTAGGACACAGGACATGAACAGTCACAGGTACCAGTACAGGGTTTGTACATGCTTCTGGAGAGGTTAGTGAGCATGTTCTGGTTGACAGTGCATCTGGCCATAAACAAACACTGACTCAAGCCTTGCTGGTCTATACGTAGGTTTTGCAATCAAAGTTTATGCAACAGTCTGGAAATACAGTTTCAGGTTTGCATACACACCAGAGTCACATCCAGCTGAGCAATGCCAAGAAGAGACTTTTTGATTCTGCAAGAATAGAGCCAAATGCACCACCATAAATCCATCGGACTGTTCCATCAACTTGCATTTACGGCTGTTCAGTCCTCACTGGGCATCCATCTGTCCCAGGAAATTCCCCCATGGAAATGCTGCAGTGTGAAAAAGCATTCAGGGCTGCAGCCTGAGAGTCAAGAGGACACAGCAGTAACCCTGCGGCTGTAGCTTTCTTGGCTTTGGGCAAGTTGTTACCTCCTCACAGACAAAGCAAGGTGATCCCATGCTCTGTTTACACTCACTCTTCTGGGCTTTTCCCTCAGTTCTTTGATGAAGGATTGAGTCAATCTTCCCCTTGCTCCAAAGAGAGTCATGGAGCTGGTGGTATGAATGATCACACGTTTAGGACCGTGTTTTACATGTGACTAGGAACAGAATAACTTGTTTCATCAATGCATGAAGTCCCTTTGTTTGATTAAGCTTTTATTCACCCCCAGGATGTTTTGCAGCAACACTTCTATCACCGAACATTGAGCAACGTACTCCGCAGTTCTCATGACTATTTGAGCTGTCCTTTGGCACACTGGACACCACCATGGCCTGCAGTGTGTGTGAGAAGCAGAGCTAGTGGTCAGGTGAAAGGTCTCCAGCTGTCTCCAGCCCCAGCCGCAATGCACACCTCGGGGCAAGTCAGCGAGACCTGGTGCCTCCTCCCAGGCCACAGACAGCGTGGAGGAGCCTCGGCACACAGAAGCCCAGAAGCACAGAAGTAGGGTGACAGGGAGCTGAGCGTGAGGAGTTAACACAGGGGAAGGCAGGAGGGGCCACCCTGGAACAAAGAGGTGGGAAGCAGAACATGTCTGTGCGCCCCAGGGGCTGAGCAATTACATTTGGCAGTGCTCTTCTGAGGCGGCTTTTTTTTCTTGCTGCCCTGGGAATACAGTCAGAGCTGCCTGTTAGGAAAATATCAGATAAGAATTCCATGTAATTTCCAGCCCCTGAACAAGTGAACAACCTAAGATAAGCGTTTCCTCAGGCTTATATTTGATTCCTGTGGAAATCCATATGTGCTTATAGGCCACCCACATCACACCAGTGCATACCTGCTCTTAAGCTGACATTTTGTACAATAGCAAAGGGATAAATCCTTCATTTTGCACACAGGGTATGAGGTGGGTGTCAGAAGCAGCCTTTGCACACATGGAGCAGGTTGCAGTGGGCTGCTGTGAGCACAGCCCTAGCCCCAGTCAGGCCTGCATGGCCTTCGTGCAGCATATGCCACTCTCCTGGAGAAGCATCCAGAGTGATGGAAGCGGCCCTGTGGCCATTTTGAGGGTAAGGCAATAGGCTGGGATACAAGAACCACCGTGTCCTGTGCTACTTATCCTCTCCCTAGTAAAAACACACCACAGGAACAACTCTATGTCCTCCTGGAGCAATTTCATTATATCTGTACCATGGACCCTGAAGCAGACTCGCTTTTCTCCACTCCAGGCTGACACTTAGGATCAGGCTAAAAGGAGCTGAAGCATAGAGGATGAGGGCAATTGGAGTGAAACTGGGACCAAAAAATTTGACAGGACCTGTGATGATGTGTACAGACTAATCCCAGCTCTCCAACAGAGTAACTAATTAACCTGGTTTCTTTGCCCCTGCTGATGTGGCTGTATTGGTTTGGGGAAGCTGAAGCAGCTCTCCCGCCAGTTTTAGTTTGCAATATGACAGTGCTTTGTGGTGCACATATTTTGGATACCTTCCAGGCACATTACTTTAGCATGTGCCCTGGGCAACTGCAGTCTGCTCTTTCACAACTTGAAGAGAAGACCCAAAATTTTCAGAAAGACCTCTTTTTGATCTTTTCAAATTGCTCAGACACTTTTAAACTTTGAGTTTTAGAACATTAAAAAAATAAAAATAAAAAATAACAAAAAATTTTTTGTATTCTTGTTTTCATTTTAATATATAGAATCTATGATTCAATATTATTATTTATAACTGCTCATTAAAATGAAATGTTAATTATTTTGTTATTTTTCATTAATATGATTTTAATGCTTTTGTCCTAAAAGGAATTCCATGTGATGAAGGACTAGAGAGGGGAGAAAAAAAGGGGAGTAGGTAGGTTTTTTAACCTATAGTTTTAATACAGAATCCTGACTTTGAAGATCAAGCAGCATATATAGGAAAAAATAAACTGACAAATTCACTGGTGCCTGCTAATCTGCATTATGGAGAAACACTCATTTACTCATTCTATAAAAATTATATGGGTCATATTTTTTAGGGAGAAGTTGGAAGTCGTACAGAAGCGTATCTTCCAGCTTCACATCTTACCTGCAGAGACCAATCCATACAGGTGACAACACGATGCTTTGACCAGTGCTCATCGTAGAACTGACGGTTAAAAGAAAGGTTGGCTCCTGCTTGAACATCTCTGTGAATTCAAACAAAGTGACTCTTCTTGAAGTAACAGAGTTCAAATGCTTTTAAAATCAGTGCAGAAGTTTCCAACTACTTTTTCTCAGACCTCTGGAACAGTTTGCCACCTTGAGTTAATTGCTTTCACCAACAGTCTTGAAAGAGTCTAGACTTGGACTTTGCACCATGGAACAAATTTTATACATATTTCACCCAACCAGATTTCTTAATTTCCACTGCCTTCCTGCCTTCTCTAGTTGGCTCTTTTTGGGACACCCCTACCACCTTTCTCTCAAGACCAGGTCTGATCCTGGCATTCAGCGTCTCCTTTTCTGAACCTTCATGTCCAAGCTACAACCAAATCTCTCTTCTTTTTGACTCCCAAAATCTTCAAGTTACAGTATCTCCTCCCAGTCATGGAGATGGCAGATGCCTTCTGGCACCACTGTGACTGGCCGAAGCTCAGTGCTGGATACACAGCCACTGAAACCTAAATACTTCCTGTCACATGAGCAAGCATTGCTTCTTGCACTCCTTATCCATTGCTGAACATGCAGTGTGCCACCTTCTGTCTTACGTGTTTAGATTGCAGATACTTTGGGAGACTTGTGATTTTCAGCCACACAGTGCACAGCACAGCAGTATCTGCAGAAATACCAGTATTGAAGCATACAGATGTATGCCTCTTAAAGTACTCATGCACATCTACATATCTGTGTGTACGTTTCTATGTTTCAGTTATTATTCAATGATTCTCTCATCCAAAAACTGAACAAACAACAACAATCTGGGTAATACTTTAAAGGAAAAAAAAAAAACACAAGAAAAACAGCAATGAGGTATGAAACTCTTTTACAAAATAATTTAGACTAATAAACTCACCCAAGACTTCAAGGGGAGGTTTTAACCCTTTCTTAACTATATAAGCATTTAGTTTAGTTTCAAAATTAATGCTTCCAGTGAATACCAATGGCATTGGTATTCTTTATATAAGCTTATTATACAAAAGTAACCAAATCAAAACTGACCCATCTTTCTCTTCTACGTCTCTGCCACTGTAGTCAAAGAATATGTCTGAATCTTCAGCCAAAGCTCGCTCAATTACACGTATTGTCCGGTCAAAAAATATCAGGAATTCTTCTGAATGGAGAACTTGCTGTTTTTCTTCTTCTGTCAATTCTCTGGGAGGAGCTTGGAAAATTAAAAGATGCACTTAAAAGTATGACATTTCACTCCTTTCCAAATGAATCAACATCTTCACTGAGTTTCTTTAGACATGAAAGCTTGCTGTAGCACCATCAGGGCAAAAATCAAAGCTCTACTCTTAAAATCATGACTACGAATTCTTTAGCACATCTAAATATGCTCCTGTGCGTTACCAGAAAGTAGCACTTACATAGAAGAGATCCTATATCTTACATATTTATTATTCTGCAATGGAAAATACTTAAAGCCTCAGATAAAATAAACACAGTGTTCCTATTTCAGGAAATTGCTCTGACTGACATTTAGGCAATGCTTAGCTTGAAAAAGCAGAACACTTATGTAACAGGGGATCTGTCAGAGGAGCCAAAGATAAAATAATCTGCTCAACTTATAGTACAGTTCTTTGTATTAAGAGGGCTCTCATAATCTCTCCCTTCCCTTCTTCCAATTTCTTCTTGGTATCACTGATAAATTTTGTCTTCGGGCTTTTGTGAAGCAGTGAAGTAAATAACTGAAGACACTCTCTGAGGCAGCAAAATCTAAAGTGACTGACCAAACTCCATTTTCTCTCAGGCAATCCTAAGAGCCAGAGCAACAAATACACTGTGGACACTGTTTGTCCAGGGCTGCCTGGGACAGGTGGGAGTCACCTCAGGCAGGACAGCCTGGTCCCTGGAACATGGAGCTGCTCCTTTCCTTTTGGCAGAGATACCAACTCTTTCATTTCAGAAGGGTATTCCCAGCATGACCCCTCATCTGAAAATTTCAGGAAGCACCAGTTTCACTTCTCTGTCAGTTTAATGACCTGTTGGTAAATTACAGTTAAAATGTGAGCATTTAAGGAAAGAAAGTTGGATACTGTTATTGCTGCGGTGCAAAATTCTGTTCTCAATTACACCAGCAGGGTCATAGTGATAAGATAGCAAAGTTTTGTGTCAGTTATGCCTTTGCCAGCATGTGATTTTAAACAAGCATTTTAGTTGTATTTCAGAATCACTTACATTTCAAAAAATGCCATTAGCATCTGTATAGTTACACCAAACCAACTTTGCAACTGTGTCAAATTCCCAGCTTGGAAAGCTCTGTTGGCACCACAGGAGTTATGCTAACAGAGAACACTGCTCCAAATTCATGATTATGGACACAAACAGACAGCTTTATTGCAGAGTTACAGAAAGGGACGTAACCCTTTCTCACCAGTCCATGCCCCATGGCTCTTGCTGGGTTTTTTGCTGACAGCTGTCCAAAGAGGCATTTGCAGGTGTTTGCCTGGATACAACTCCACCACCAGCCCCTGGGGCAAAGATGGATCTGGAGGCACAGAAGGCAGGGGAAACACCATGGCCAGCAATTGTGCAGTGCTCAGCTTCCCAATTTGCTAAGTATTTGGTTTTAGAGCACACTCTGTGCTCAGGAGAGGCTGTTATCATCACAATTAGGTTTGCCTAACCTGCTCAAAGCTTTTGCTCTAGAAGACAAAATCTCAGTCTAAATATAGAGGGAAAGAAAAATGTGAAAGGTGGAGAAGCAATTTTGCACTCAGGAGATGAAGCAGCGAAGAAGTTAAAACTTGAGCCCCGATGGACTCCTATGGCCTCGGCCCTCTGCCTCCTGCCACCAGGTTTGTGGTCCCTGCAGAGCTCCACACATCCAGGGACAATCTCTGTTCCTTGCACAGTCCCCCTGCACAGTAGAGCAACTATTACCAAGGCGGGAGCACAATCTGCCTCTAAGTGTTTTAGACAGAAGCAATGCATGTGAAAAAAGAGAATGAGTAGCAAAAAGTACAGGTTGACCTATTGCAGCATCCACTACCAAACAGTAATTGGCACTAGGGGAACTGATCTGGCAAGGAAGCCTGTAATGAGGGAAAATCCCACTGTCACCACTAAGCATTGCTTTCTGAGAATCAAAGGCAACAAGCATGACAGTGCAGCAAAATGGCTTAAAGGGGGAGCAAATTGCTGCAAATGCAACTAGAAAACTCATTTTAAACTGCTCCAAGTGCTGAAGATTATTCGCTAAATCAAATAGTCTGTACAGGTTGGAGATATAAATTTATTATTTGGTCATTTGCCGACGTGGACTGACAAAGAAAATGCAACAAAAGATCAACAGAAAGGAGATAAGCAAAAACTAAACAGCCTGGGAGCTGTGGGGTGTTCACAAGCAATGGAGACACAAATGATTGCAGTTCTACCTCAGCAAAATCTCCCTTGCAGTTAGCAGCGATCTGTGGGAGGCCAGCAGTCTATTCATTAAACCCTCTTCGGCATCAGAAACACCTTGGCTAAAGTTTGTAGGGCATAAATCAGCTTACCTCATCCACCCGACTGACACACCAGATGCCCCCTGGCGATATTAAGCTTCATATTTTAACCTCATTTTCTTCTTTCATTCGTCTGCCTCTGAAGTTTTATTTGAGGCAATCTCTCCTTGCAAGAATGTTAACATCTTTACTTTTTCCACTATAAAACATTTCTGAACTACTGTGAATACATGGAGTAGAAGCAAGAAACAAAACAAAACAAAAAAAAAACACCATACAAGCTTGTTCTCTCAAATATGAAGATTTTCTAAAGATTTTCTAACCATTTATCTTACAGAGCTGCTTCCATTTTCTCCTTGTTCCTGTCTGTCCATTACCCTGAATAAAATAAAAAGAATCTATGTAATTTTCTGCAATTTCTCTTCCTATCTGGAGGCTTTTGGTTAGTTTGATCTCAGCTTTCAAGAGACACAGACTCTCTTCAAGGAAAACTACGAGAAACGTAAGTAGCTGATCAAAGTATTTCTTGTTTTGTTTTGTTACAGAGACCTGTATGATGCGACAGTATCTCCTGAAATTCTAGGGAAGAATTCAGCATTTTCTATCAAGTATCTTCTCTGCCTGGAGTTAAAACCAAACACACCACATCTAACCCTCCCCGTCTAACAAAGCCCAGCACGACGCTTTGTTTCCCAGTGCTGGAAGTTACACGCTCATTGCCTGAAGAGCAATGAATGCTACCAAAACGGAAGCCCCCCACTTGGAAAAAAAAGCTGATACAAAAGCGTTTCCCTACATTGCTAAGTAAAAAATGCTCCAGTCTTGTACTTATCTGACAGTAGCAGGACAGTGGTAAACAAAGAGTTGTGATAACAGTGCAGGATCAAATTCAGAAGTATTTATAAAAGATGGTTTGAATCTTGTGAGGGAACCAAGAAGATATTTAAAAACCAGAGAATGACCCATATTTAAATAAGCTCAATAGTAGAATATTCTTCTGCAATGTAAGCAATTGTAAAAACCTGGCAAAATAAGTGAAATCCATTAAAAGCAAAAAAGAAAATAAGACCAGCAAGCATAAGGGAATGAAAGAAAGGGTGAACTAATAAAAACAGTACAGCAGGAAGCAGCCTCGTTATGAGAACAGAGATATAACGAGAGACAGAAGGAGATTAGCAAAACCCTTTTAAGAGCTGCGTTATTTCTTTCAGTGCACATTTAAATCCATGCAGACTTCAGATGTGCTGACTACTGAGCACAGCAAAAATGTAAGGTGTGAGAACCGCGAGGTGCTGAGCAGCTCTCTGCAGCTCTTGGTCTCTGTCTTCTTGCAAGCCTCCTGTTTTTCTGGTGTCTCACTTTCATGTTAGACTTGATATATGCCATGTCCAAGTTTGATGGATGCCATGTGCGAGTTATACTAGGTTTAAAACACAAGTCCCTGCACAGTGCAATTGCTGAATGGGAGATTTTGAGGCGCATTTGGAATTTTTCAGTGCTGGAAAAGCAGTGTGTGGAGCCTTGAATTCAGAGCTCTGCTGGGCAGGGCTGCACCCACTGCAGGGGCTTGAGGGTCTGCGTCCTTGAGCACACCCTGTGTCCTTGAGCTGCGCTACCAGGAAAGACAGATGCCCCTGCCCTAGGTGTGGGATTGATGGCAGAGAAACTGTGGAATTGCAGGCTCTTATACACACCAGTAAGACTGCAGGACCAAGCCACCAGCCTGTCCTGCCTCTCTTCTCCTGATGCTGGGTTCGGTGAGAGCTGGACTGTCTCCCCACCTGCACCATGAGAACACCACAGATACGCAGTCCTGTACCCACGTCCAGGGAAGGCATGGTGGGTCTTTGAAGCTGCAGATCCTAGCTTCCCCCTTCACAGCCTTTCATGCTGGTTTCTGTGGATATATCCAGGGCTTCAGATAAATGCAGGTTGAGGCCCACTTTCAAGACCCAGCCCGTCCTGCTGTTCATGTGGTTTCTCCTGACACAAAGAGGCGCCTGAGGTGGAGCTCCGGAGCTCTCTGGTGGTGGAAAGCCCCATCCCACCCGATGCCACAATTTGGGACCAGGCTCTTGTTTATGTGGTCAGGAGAGGCTGGGAACAGGCAAGGTCCAGCCCAGTTCCCCGGCAGGTATCCCACACTTGGCTCTTCCCAGCACAGTGTGAGACATGGGTGACAGCCGGCAGCCACGTGGAAGAAACACGGCGGGATCGTCAGGCTTCACATGCTTCCAGCAGCTCAGCAGTCAGGTTCCCACCTCCCACCCCTACTCTGTGGGTCTACTGCTCTGCCCGCCCTTCTTCCCCAGGGTAATGGAGGGGTCATGCCAGATGGGCAGGTGTCTCGTGTGCCTTGCAGCAACACTGGGACATGTCCAGCGCTGCGCTCTGCCCTGCTCAGGGCTCTGCTGCACTGTCCCACCCAACCCTGCAGAGCAACTCTGGGGAAGCGCGGGGGAAAGATGAGGAAATTAACTGTGTAATAAACGTCTGTAGAATTAAATCAAACTACCTATAAGCCACTGAGAGAAAAAAAAAATAATCACATTTCCTCTTAAAATACCATTATAAAAATAGAGCACTCCTGTCCCGTTGGCTTGGGGAAAGGGACTGGGTCCAATCATTATTTTTCATACCGACCTATTTTTGAGTTATGATCACAAAAGAATTGTCTGCTTCTCTCTCCGAACACTTCCCTCTCCCATGCTTTTTTTTTTTTTTTTTAACACTCCTATAACTCAAAAAAGGCCATGCTGATTTTTTTAATCTGTTAAAAATGTGCTCCCTGAGCTGAAACCAAATTTCAGCCCAGAGCAAATTTTTACGGCTGGGTTATAAATCCCTGAAAAACAGGATTCATAATGGAAGTGCTGACACAGCCTTAACTACTATATAGCAGTGTGAATGGCGCCACTATAATATCTATTAGAGATTCTTTAAAAAGTTTGCAAAATATTGTCTTGCCTTGCAGAGGAAAAGAAGCCAGAGTGCTTAATGCCAACATAAACATGCTTTTAACCCATTATGTGCTAATTTGCAGAAAAGCTATTAATTCTGAGTAGGCGCACAGAGTGCACTACCGACAGGAAATGTTCTTAACTCCTGTTTGACTTGTAACATGGTTTTAATCACTTCCATGAAACACAAACGATGGCTTCAAACTCTGAATGTTGCTCAGAACATGAGAAGGGCGATTACAACAGAGAGGAAAACAGGAATTTGTTGGCAAAAGGGCTGAAGCCAAAAGGGAAGGAGCTACACCAAACAATAAAAATGGGACTCCATTCGCTGTCGACTGGGGATGATTGCTTCATTTGACTCACAGCATTTAATGCTAGCTATCAACATGCCACTATTTAATCTCTGTCATGACACATACTGTGGGTCAAGTTCACTTTCTATCAGGCAATGAACATCTTTTCTTCTTCCTTGAACTCAGTCAATTGTTAGCACCTCACAGAGCCGGTTCTGCTAAACAAGCTGTGCCTTGCTTTTGCATTCTGCAGTTTGTGTGTGAGGGACTGGTGCTGAACTAATTCTGCTCACCTATCATTCCCATGGTCTGCTAGGTAGGGAAGGGGAGCGTGTGCCCAAGACTGAAAGGAATAGAAGATGTTGAAGATGGTGCTTGGTCAGCAAAGTTCATAAAAAGACTTGCTTGAAAGTCCAGCAAAAAGTAGAACAAATCGATTCTGCGGTGTATTTAGATTCTTTCTTCTTTTCTTCATACAGGAATTCATGCTTTCTCTCAGCTAGCATTATTATTATGTGGAAATAGATGGGGATGGGATCAATTGTTAGCTGAATCACATAGGGCCATTCAGCAACAAAGGACAATGCATAACTGCAGTGATATAAGCTTTTATGGCTTCCTGTTGTCATTAGGAAAAGAGATACTGTGCTAGGCCACTGATTGCTTGAACTCGTGTAAGTTTACCCCACACTTTTAGGAGGAAAGATAATTTTTTGAAAAAGTCATTTTTTCTCTACTGCTGTGCCTCTTGTTCATGTCTCTGCAGTCTCTTCTGTGACTCCTGTTTCTGCTGTCACTGCTGCTCTCTTCTGCCCGTGCCAGTGGTGACCGGGGGCAGTGTGTGAAGCAGAAGGATGTGAAGGGGAAGGAGTGAGGTCTTCCCTTCTCTTTTCTCCAAGAACCAAACGAACAATGGGAACTGTAGGATTTAGGAGCAGATGATTTCCATGATGCTCTTAAGACGGAAGAAAAATTAGTTCATAATCAGAACAGTATGGCTAGTACTGCAGCTCACTCCCGTGTATGCGGACCATAAAAAGCAGTCAGTATACCCTAGATTCTGGTTTTTCTGACACTGACATTAGTCATGAAGACTCCCCTGGATGAGAAAGAAGCACCCACTGCTTATTCACAGTCACAGTCAGTGATTTCATGGGCTTCTCTGTAAACTAACTCCACATTTTTTCTATAATGAGTCTGTCTCGTGAAAAACAAAACCAGAATCATCCTGATAATGATCACTACAGCATGAAGTGACTTAGGCCCTACCTGTGGAAGTAAGTTACCTTTCAATAAGGTGTACAGTACAATGAGCAAACCTGGCAATAAAAAGCTAAGAAATGTTGAACAAGAAACTGATTTCCTCTCACAGTGAATTTGCTGGTATTTCAGACCTTTTCCCAAATTCCATGCAAAACAGTCAATACTCAGTAAATTCCCAGATATGAAAGACACATCCTTCTCTTAGAACGAGTCAAAGTAAATGGGAGGCAGAAGGAGCATCTAGAGCGTCCAGTGCTGACATAAACCACTTTAACACAGGCTTGTACAAGAAAGAGGCTGTAACCTGAATTTCTGTCCCTTGTAACAATTGAGAATGTCTCAATCCAAAGACATAGAAGACCTGGGAGTGCCTGGCTTCAGTTTTGGCCTTAAATTCCCTGGGGAAAACTCCCACAAAATATTTTGACAGTCTACATTTTCCATTGAAATGGCATTCTGCCGGAAGATGCCTGGCCCCACCAGGTTTAATTTTGCCCCTCTCAAGCAGACAGACAGTTATGGGCTCTAAGTACCTTTGAAGATCAACCAGCTCTCTGGAGCTGCTGGAATGCCCGGCATTCACATTTTAAATCTTTCACTTAAGTAGGCTTTTTAAACCAGAGGACAAGTAAGCACCAGTCCCGGAATCCAAAAATCTCTGGTTTCCAAATTATGAGGACATGTTGCTTCTTCTGAACAGCAGAAATCTTATGCTGGGTCACTGGGATGCAGTGTTTTGCTTTAATACAATTAACGAAGCCCTGAATCAAAAGAACTTGTGACCATTTCACTCTTGCATTGTTCCCTATAACAGAAGTACCTGTGGAATAACTACATGCTGGATCAAGTCCTTTAAAACTGTAACAAAATTATTTTTGTTTGTTAAAGTACCTTCTTTTGTTTCCTGCTTCTGGTCTTGATTTTCTGTCTCCAAGTTATCCTGTGCTTTTGGTTCCACCATTTCTTCATCATCTTCATCCTCTGAAAAAAGCAATGAAAAAAAATTGTGAGATTCTCCACTTTAAGGGGAAAGGGACATAATATATCTGTCTTTTTAAAAATCATAATCTATTACTAAATAGAGGTAAAGCATAAGTGAAAACATTTACTATACTCAAAGTGTCCCTCTCAGAAACAAACCTCCAGACTGCAAGACAATCTCCTAACCCAGGGCACCTGCCACTTGTGCTCCCTGTAGCAACTTCCCATCTCAGATGACATCTGAATATCTCCTTGACCTCAGAGATGACTTCTTAGATGGCATGAGAACAGATGCAAACATGTTTCAGCCTGGCAGCTATTCCAAAGTTGGGACACCTGTTATCCAGACACCTCATTTCCAATTCAATTCTCAGCAGATTAATTTATCTTTTGACCTACAGGAAGGGGTTAAATAGAAGTCTGACCTCAGGTCAGATGCCACTAGTAAGCAAATAAGCATGGCACAGTTCTGAAAAGTCATCACCGTCAACGAGGGGAACACAGCAACCAAAAGCAGCATTTGGAGCTTAAGAGCCATTCTTGCATTAATATAAATTTAATGAACACTAAAATTTGACACATGTCAGTTAGTACTGCCAGATGTTTTAATGACCTTTCCTGACCTATGCAAATGCCTCTCTCCCTTCTTTCCTCTCCCCACATTCACGTGTTCTTGTTTTATTCAGAAGGGCAAACCATTCCTTTCTTTACGCCTTTTTGAAGTTACAGCAGTTCTGACTGCCCAAACCAAAACATAATGCAGTAGAGCTGGAAAGACAGACCAAGACCTCCTTACTTCTCTCCAGCTAGAGCAATGCAATACACTCCCCAGAGCCCAGGCCCTGCATCCAACCCACTCACATCGTCCAGAGGGTACAAACACAGATCCAGTGAACTGCTAACACTGGCAATAGAGGTGATACTAAAAGTGGGAGTTACAGTAATTAACAATTAGGCTGTGTAGAGAAGGGTTCTGGAGCAAAGACGTACCATCAAGGCACAGTAAATACTGGTGCACTGCGTGGGTCCACTATGTGACAGAAAAACGTTCTCTTGGCCTGAGGCATCCGGCCATCAGCAAAATCGTGGTAGGTCCTTTGGGGCTTTCTGAGCAACCCACTTGTCACCATATGGCCCATCAGGACACGACCTTCTGCAGGCCCACTCACTGCTCTAACACCAGCAGTGTGTCTGGCGGCAGCAAGGGACACTGTCGTGATGCTCGAGCTGCTCGGCTACTGGCACCTTCTCCTATGCAGACTGATTATGATCAGCCCCAGCTTCTCACAGCGATGTTGCTGCTGACAGGTTGCATTCAGCCAACAGTAACACACAGCTGCATTTTGTTTTCAATAACCTAATAGGCACCATTCTATTCCCATCACTGCCTACCTGAAGACTCCTCCCTGAAGCCTACAGAGTGCTGGCTGCTAGCTGACATCTCAGCTACAGAGCATGACTTAGCCACAAAACCAAGGAAGTGTCTCGGCACGGACAGTATGCTTTCCCCTTTTGGGAAAATAATGAAATCTTGACATAAGATCTGCCATCACTTCCCCTATCACTAGTGAAAAGATGGAAAGCTCAGAGAAAAGGAAGGAATAGGTACAACGTACGCTCACTTTGATGCCTCACTTGGCAATCATGTTTCTCTAGGTACCCTATCTATTCCTTGAAAGAGTTTCTAGTGAGCAAGCCAGGGCATTTAAGTCAACAGAGCACATACACTGCTCTGCATACTGTCTGAAAGGCAGCTAGCATCCCACAGCACCAGCAGAGGGTCAGAGAGTGTATTTCACCGTGAGTACACACAGAGAGGTAAAAAGGTCCATCTGTTCTCAGCCTAGCAGAGATGAGGATGCACAGAGGAGAGAGAGACATTCCCAGTTTCAAAGAACAGATGAGAGGTGTGAGAAGAGAGCGCAGGGACCAGCAGAGCAAGAAGGGAATACTGTGCTAATCTCAGGTACACATGCACACAGATAGGATCAGAACAGTGTACAGATATATGCATACAGACACACTTATGGTAGATACCTAATGAAGCCAACTCCCACTGGAGTTCTGTGAGTCCTGCTTTACAAGTTTTCATTCCTTAGAGCACCAGCTTTTGGGGCTAATTGTTTATATATGGATTTCAGCTTCCATTTTTAACCTGTTTCCAACCTGTCTGCTTGCACAGGGAAGTTTCAAAAGGTGAATGGTTTGAGAAAACATGCAGAAAGCAAACAACAAAAAAACCCTAAGACTTAACTGAAAATCACGTGATTTTTAAGGCAGCATGCTATGCTTTTCAACACTTGCCTTGTAACATGCTAATGCATAGGGACAATGTCACTAATGCGAAACCCGAGAATCTCTTTTGTAGCAAGTTTTCAGACTGTAATGAAGTAAATATATTCCTGTCCCGCAGAAGTCCTTGACCTCCCCGATTTTGTGTGCAGAATTGTTTGCCTGTCTATTGCTGTTCCTACTTCTAAAGCTGAGGACTAAAGACTATGGCACAGCTGGAGCAGGGGCTGTAGTGATACTTCAGCACCTATTAAGGTAGATCTCCATTACTCCCCTTCCTTCCCCTTCTGGGAACAATCTAAACAAAGTTTCCCTAGATTTCCCCAGATCTAATTGCAGCAGGAAGAAGAACCAAAGGTTATTACAACACATGCCATGCCTTTTTGTCCAAAAGCGCACACATCAATACATTAGTTTTACTGGGAAGACTGTGCAAGAGCTTATAGCAGGTTTGATACAGTTCAGATGTCCTTATTTATTTATGGAGAAATGTATGCATATTCTAAAGAAAAAATTCAGCTAAAAGAATGATATGGTTGTGAGCCAAGTGCTAAAATGCTAGCAATGCCAGAATTTGGATTGCCTGGGCACGATTAGCTCCCCACGTGTAGGCATGATGACATCATTCTGGAATTTCCTCCCTTTTCAGTGCTTGGCCTCATTTTCTGGGTGCTCACAGGAGACACGTGGGTCTGAAATGAAGGGAAGCTGAAGTCAAGTGAGCCTGTGCTTTGAATGGAAAGTGCTATGGAAATGCTATGCATGCACAACTTCCAGATCTCTCACTTTCTGTTTTGACTAATTGTTGTCATTCAGACATTTTTGCCCCTTCTCTCTGTGCTTCAGCACTTTTGCATGACTACGGTAATACTGTACAGGGTGCACTAGAGAAACAAATGTTGGAAGGCAATCAATGTTCTCTGTGTTCAGTGTAACATTTGGACATGAGATCTGAGGCCAGAACACTGAGTGGAAGAAAACAAGAACTAGAAATGTTAAAAAAACTGACTTCTCACTGATCAGCAGAAACAGAAATCTCTTAAGGAAAAAAATCACCATGTGTTATCATATAATAAAAACCGTATCATCGCAGACATTCAAAAGGGCTAAGTAAGGATGCCCAGGGAATCTGCCTTCTAGAACATTCAATGTTACTTGGCTTTGCAAGCTGAATGTTTATTTGCCATTTCTTTTTTTATATATATCATTCACTATATAATGTTGATGTATGCACGTTTGTACATGTTCGTAGTACATACATTTGTGACTGTGCATAAGGATAGTCAGACATATGTGCAAACGACTGTGCACATTCATATACTTTACAGAATGGGAAAAGCTTTGGCATTCATTTTCCTCTCTTTTACTTAATGAGAGAAAGATTACAGTGAGCGTACATTTACTGAAGAGCCTGTGAGTGTGTACATGCTTATCTGTTTCCACATACACTAGTTAGCCTGCATATGCCATAGCAGAAAATGTGCAGGGAGGTGATGACAGCTCTGTTGTTCCTGAATACAAATAGCCTTTCCCTGTGTAAGAGCATATATGACGTGGGGAAGTTCAGAGAAATGACTTTTCAACAGCTTACATAGCAGTAGTAAGAGTCTCCCAGTCATATTTGGCAAACAGAGCTGCTACTTAGACCAGTAGTGCTACACTCTGTTCAGATGATCTAAATCAGAACCCAAATGTCTATTAAAGGAACCACATGAAAAAGAGCTAGTAATGAAGAAGTGTATGGCTGCTGTGTAACACTTCTTTGTAGATCTCAAAGGACTCTGCAAGGAGACCAGTTTATTATCCCCATTTACCATGCTGAGGCTGACGCATAGACCCACACTCTCTGTAGATCGCTCAGTCAACCAACAGCTGGGTGGAGAGGAAAGGCTGACTTCAGAGTTTCAGCTTAGAATCCTACCCACTAAGGCCACCCTGTCTTTTACTGTAAATAAACCATTTCTCAATCAAAATGATCACTAAGTGCTTCGGTTAAACAAAATGTTTGTCTGCTGAAACTGGTGGAGCCATATGTGGGTTTAATACAGACCGACATCACTGGACCAAATACCGTTTCTTCCTAACTCAGAGCCTGACGACTCTCTGGGCTCTAGGAGCTGGCCAGTTAGTCCTAACAGTGCTCTGTTTAACATAATGAAGTAAAAACAGAGCAATTGTTTTCAACTTGTACTTAGCTTTGAACATTCTTGCTTCTGTTACAGGCCAGAAGGTGGTCTCACATGTCTAAAAGCTTTACGTTTTTCCCACCTATAGAAGCGGCTCTAATAAGAAAGTGTGACTTCTCTCTACAAACCTAGTTTTGTTTAATCTGCCTGTAAACTACTAGTTTTCAAATGCTGCCTAGCTTCAGTGAGTCTGGTCTTTTGCTTGGCCTCCGCAAGGATGGAACACCATTTTGCAGCCCCATAAAAAGGAGGGGGAAGCCCTGCAAACATGTGGCTAACTCATTGGCACCTGCAGAGGAAAAGCTCAGATGTGCTGAACTGGGCCAAACGTTCACAGAGAGCACAGATATCTCAGGAAGTCATGCCTCGCATTTATACAGAGCTGGATTCATCACTGCTTGGGCTTTCCAGTGTTTTAAATCACTGTATTTATTTTTACAGCTTATAAAAACATACTAGGCACGTTCAAGGCAAGCTAGAATACAGTGATTACATCTAAGACTTCATATGACATTGGCTTAT